ATCTTCCCGCCCGAAACACTCTCCCGGGCCAAAACCAGCCCCAGAATCGGAACCAATACCGGAGGAAACAGTTAAGGGAACTCCGAGTTTGGGTTTTAAGCTGAGAATAGATGCTATTCCACCATTTGCAGCTTTTGGCGGGGGAGGAAGTTCTTCGGTTATGTGGCATTGGTGTAGTTGGCCACCGGGATCAATTCGCTTTTTTGTCATAAGCATTTCTCGGTCTAATGCGACTTTCTTGCGTTTCCAACTGGCCTGACGAGATATTGGGCCTCTGGTCCTCTTATTCATGGAATTAGCCATTTGGCTTCGGTTGGGTATTTAGATCTCCTATACTATATGTTAATATTAAAGCTTGTATAACTAATTGCCTCACTTTAATAACTTGAAAGAAATACCTGACTTTGCACAATGATAAAAATGTTATAGGAGGAGGATCATTGACCAAGACTTGGACTGACTGACAATAGAGACTTTGCCATTTGGCATCCAGAGTCAAATTCAATCGATCGATCCTGTTCGCCTGGAACCCCGTTTGACTCACATCCAGTATCCTTTCACAAAGTCTCTAATACATTTAATGTCTTGCGAGCCCAACTCACGTCCTACTGAAATACTCTTTCTTCATTATTAATCCACTATCTTATGACAAATGACTTGACCATTTTTGGTAAAGTGCTGGTGACGACACATCCTCTATCGGGAAAGGTCTAGCAAAAATTTTATTTTTGAAAAGGAGGGCCGGAGGTTGACACGCTCACCCTCTCAGGCTTCGCGCACTATATATGCTGTGGGCGATGATCTCGAACCGATTCTGTCTCAGTGGCAGAACCGTGGCGGGGAGGGAGCTCCCGATGTAAAAGATCTTCCAAATCTCGAACGGACGCGTCAGCCACAAACCCTCGGTGAACCGGCAGATATATACCAACAGTCCTATAATCGAAATCACTAGTAAGGAATTCTAACGCTCGGGGGCCCTAGATACGGAGGACTCGGGAGTACTGTACCTCTGACGGGTATCACATCGCGTCACTCGGAATACCACGTATGACGTGGGGGAAGGAGCCAAGCGTCCTCGCCCATATCCTGACGACACAACCCCGTAACTATCCTAATCTCACGTCTATAGAATATGTGGCAGACGGGCCCAAGACCGAAGAGAGAAAAATAAAAAATAATAATGATCAAAGATCATACACCAAACCAACACTTTGACCAAAATCCCACACAACCCCTAACTAGCATTCACACAACACAGGAAGGACGTTGTTATCACGAACCATTTTAAACACACAGCAAAGCATAAGTCACCTTCTATCATACATATCTGAGACACCACAGAGCAGCCGTCCCACACCTCAACCCCACGAACACTCACCTATATCGTACCTGTTGAAATAGGAACTGTTTGTAGTGCAGCGGAAGATCGTTGATTAAGTTCTATCGCTAGCTAAAGGGAACAAGAACGGTATATTTATACACCATGGTGGTGACGCAAGCCATGATGCGGATTACCCTCCTCCATGCACATTCCCATATACGCAATAGTGAGTAGGAAGCGACAAGACAATCTCTTGTACCTTACTCAGAGGACCATTTCTCAACAGTACCAACATCTCCACATCGCACGACGCAAGCAGGACTCCAATCTATACTATAGCAGGGGTGAAATAAAAATCTACCGAAGCCCCTTCCATACTCCAAGTGAACACATAAATCAAGCATACGGTACACACCTGTGATATACCGCCCCGCCTTTATAAAGATTTCCAAGAAGAAACGCATCCAATCCACTAAAATCACACGGCGTCACTCGACAAAATACAGTTTTGCGATAGGTTACAGTTCAGTACTCGCAAAGGGGTGGGGGTGGGGGGGAGGGGTGAAACCGGTGCGTTCCGTCATATATCCGATACCAACGCTAAGATGAGATAACTTCGGAAATCTAGTTAGCATACTAGTAGATGGCTAAAACACAAGGATGGTAGCAATTGTCCGGGGCGAAATGCTCGAGAACCTCCTCATGCTAGCATTGTACAGTACGGTACAAACTCGGCCCGAGAACCGTATCCCCCACTCCTCACGAATAATCACCCAGAAATTGAACGAGAAGAAAAACTCTCAGCTGCACTGACCTATGATACTTTGCCAGATATTTAATGGCCCCTCCCCCCTTCCTCTAACGGCCGACACCAGGTGACAACCCTATCACTAGGGAACTCTGATTAAATGGTATAATACCATGCAAGCACCACTCACATTACGCCTCCAACTTACCCCCCCACCTAAGTACTATACGATTCACTACTCCCGACCCATCCCATCCGCAAATTCCCCGCCCGATACGCCGCGATATCCCACTATAGTGAGAGGACGCAGCCCTGTGCGGCAGCTCTCTTTCCCAGACCCCTCGCTAACTAAAGCACTACCTGATCACCCACCCATTGTACCTACCGGTACCGATATCGTAGATTACACCCCGTCGCCAAGTGCTTCCTTAGGTCCATATGATCTTAGTTTAGCCATGAATTATACTTCGCGGTGAGTGTTGCACCACTGATTCCCGCGAAAGGGCCGTGGGGGGTGGAGGGGGCGAGAACCTCTACCGTACTCCTAGATCTACAAAACTACTCCAGCCTTCACGAACGATGGTACTATAGCAGAACGAACACATTTCACAAAATAAGAGCCCTTCAAATAATCTCCCAACACCCAAATCACTGCAATCAATCAATTTCCCAACCTGCAAAGGAAAAGAAGTAAAGAAAAATCTCAAAAGAGAGTACACAGAGCACAAGACCACCAATTGCAAAACTCCCTTGTTTCTCACCCTCCTCCTCCATCGCCATGGATTCTCTGTCCTTCTTTCCCCCAGACTCTGATTTCTCTTCTCTTGTTCAACAATGATAAAACAAACTTATTCTTTCTCAACAACTTCAATCCCCTCATCTCTATACTCGGGGAGGCCCTCTTCTTCCTCAATGACCAACATAGTTCTAGCCTCATCAGAGCTGTTGCACCTCTTGTAGGAGCATCTAGGTCCCCTAGAAGCCCGGATGCGCTTCCACCCCAACATGAACAGCTGACCCAAAATAAGGCCAAGGAGGCTGACCGCTGCACCAGCAGTGATTCCAATGAAGATAGGTAACATAACCTTCGGAAGCATATTCAAGAAGTTGAATCCCAGTGTAGGTTTTTCCTCTTCTACGGCGCGAAGGTTCTCGAAATCCTCATAATGGGGGACATCCGGAAAGTCAAAATCGATGGGGAGAATAGATACGAGCTCTTCATCCAGATTTGGCTCTTCCTGGTTGCGGTGGCTGCATGGGCGATGGGGACCCATAACGGTATCTTTCATGGCTCGTAGGTTATCAATAGCATGGTCGAGAATGCAACGCAAGTTGGTCCCACAAGGAACCTTCTCCATCTCAATCTCAATGTCCACGTCGACGGGGGTGGTGTCGTCAAGGGTAGCGGGTGCGTCGAGAAGAGGGGGCAAGGTGAAGAGAGGGATCAGGTCCTTCATCTCAAGTTCATCCAACCATATCAAAGGTGGCCCAGCGAGTTTCTTAACCGACACTGACTTCATCGTCAACTCCTTAGTGGCCACATCTTCGTCAACCACAACCTCAAGTTCTGGAATAGCATCGTTCCTCTCGCTACCAACACTGGTGACCCTGAAGCTCACTGTGACCTGCTTCTGGGTTGATTCTGGGCCTTCCCTTGAGGACTGGAGCATGAGGTCATATCCGATAGGCAAGTTCTTCCACTCGCTCTCGGCGGTCTCGAAAAGAAAATGCTCGGTTTCGATCTGGCGGGGAATTTGGTATGCCTTTACGGCAAGGTTTGGACCGAATGGGATGACACCCGCGTCGTTGATTTTAAGGGTGGTCGGCTCATCATTTGGAATTCGGACATCGAATATCTACGTCACAGTTTAGCTCCTATGCGCATGCAGTGGCGGGTGAACGGACTAAAACCTACCAGATCAGTTTCCAAACTCATGTTAGGAACGTATTTCGATCCATTCTCATCCTTCGACCCGGCATATGCCCTACATCCGTTGCACGCAACTCTAGCCGTCAAGAAAGACTCGCCCTTGTGGTGGTGAATAGCGTATGATTCCTCCGAACCTTTGAACCCCCTTAGGAGTTCATCCAAAGGCCGGTCGATAGTAGCAACGGCAGCGCCCAGCGCCGGGATAACGAAAGGTGCAGCGGCAAGTAGATAACGCATGACTAACTGCTTATACGATACCCGAGATCACAGCTTATCGTATGGTATTGTAGAAAAGGGAAAGTATCGAAGATATCGGAAAGAAGAAGGAAGCAAGAGTGGAAGAAAAAGAGGGAGGAAAGGGGAGGAGGAGGGAGAAGAACGGAGGAAGCACAAGTTTTGAAGGGGTTGGTGAGCTAATATTTTAGAAATGACAGCAGGCCACCGAAGCTCGCCGGAGCACGAAGGGAAACGCGGCGGCAGCCAAAGGGAGCCAGCGAGTGCATTTAACCCCCCTCCTCCTCCTGCCCGCTTCACACCTCCATTTGATTCACCCGGGGAGAGGGCTGACGCAAAAGTTCTACGGGCAGGCATTGTGTGGTGGCAACCAAGCCCTTGTCCTCGCAAACGGATGGTGCCGGTACGGTACCGGTATGATATGTACCGTACCATACGGTATTATACTCGGGTACCGTTACCATAATATTATTATCATAATTAACCTCATTGCTCCTGTGAACCAAAGGAACAATCCAAAGATGCCATCCCGTGCGAAACGATAAAACTCTCTGCAAACAGAGCAGAACCGTCCATCGAACAGAACAAGGAGTAATTTACCGGTAGAATGAGATACGGTAAAGTAGTGCCGGTGCGGTACTGGTACAGTACGGCACAGCCCCCATAAGGTAGCCGCGAGGTAACCAATCACGACACCCCAAGCGCTTTGTGACCCCCCTGCGATATCACACGGGAACACCGAGTGAGAGACTGCGCTCTCCGCATGATACGGTACTGTACGCGTACGGTACCTGGTACTGGTACAGTACATGTACTTGTACTATCGTATGGTAGCACGGTACTCGAACCATGAACTATTTCGGGCTCCGAAGAGCACTACAGGCACGGTGCCCCACAGATCCGAAAGACTCACAGCCCCGAATTTGTGTGCCTCTCGACACGGACGCCCCTCAGCTTCAAGGTGGCACAAGACTGACAAATGACTTTGCTGGAGTACCGGTGGGTCAGCATCCTACACCAAAAACAGGTGACTTTACGTCCAGAAACCCCACCGCCATTGCTCGTATGGAATTTGTTCTGAGAAAAAAGTACCAAGCTCTATCAATAGGCTTTGGGAGAGAAATACTAGAAGAACTGGGAATGGACAAAAGATACCGGAAGAGGTACAATATAACACCTCATGAATGAATCTCCAGCCATCAGCACTCTCACAAGGGCGACACAAATTGCACAGTTTTTGCTGAAAGGCCAAGTGATTAGGGAGCACATAATCCTGCTTTGATTGATTCTATCTTCTTTTCGGGTGGGTTAATACTGTAGCCGCGGTGTGGTATATATGATGAATTTAAGGCGCTTGGAAATCCGTGAAGCCACGTCCCGTGCACTTGTACCAGTACCCTCACACCCCGCTCTCCCGGACGACCGGAATCTAAAGAATCCGTCTAGTTACGGCAGGCTATCTGGAACAGCGAGTCAGGTTTTGCTGTGGAAAAAAACCTGGTTTCACAGCATTTCAGGGGGGCAGCGGGGATCCGTACCGGTACTCTCGGGGTCCGGGACAGCGGGGTTTGAGTGTGCTCGAGCACGATACTATACAGGGATAAGATCCATGGGCCAACAGCCGCTACCAAACAAAAACAGGAGAAACGGAATACGAGTCAGGTATTATGATTGGGGGCTATGACCTGACAGGAGGGAAGAAATGTATACCGGTAGCAAGGGGAAAGGCTACCCTGGAGATGGCGCTTTCCAGGTGTCTGTTCGAGCGTTACGGCATTCCACCATACTGTAGACTATGGAAACGTTTACGGCTGATCGTGCTGTTAGCGCTAACACCATGACCCCCCTGCCGGCCCAGGCGACCGGTCGCGTACTGGATTCTGACCCGAGGCCGGCATACCGGTTCATACACGGCACGGCGGGGTTTGCTGACGTAGAGTGTAAGTGTATTTCGCAGTAACACTGACCCGGCAAGGCATTAGTTAAAACCTATCGTATAGTAGCTATTGAAGAGTATCGATCGGGAACCCCGAAAGCAAGTGGTATCATTATCCAAATCAGGCCAGTCCCCATGATACAAAAGCAGAGAAACCCTAGTCAACCCTCATAAGACATGAGTGAATATCAATGCACAAGAAACATAGAACATGCCGGACCAGATCGCCAAATAACGATTATGAAAAAAGAAAGAAAAAAAGAAAAACGCTCTTGCAGGCACCGCGCCGTGCTGAAAGATAGCCACACCTATGATCCTTGCCTGCCTGCCAATGCTATCGTATTCCAGCCGACCGACCAACCAACCTAGGAGAAAACTTACAGCCCCATAACCCTACCACATCCCTAATGAATAAACCTCCTCCGTTATAAGAAATTAACTGAATGCCTCTTGCCTTTCCTCTCGGCTTCGTCCTCTCCCACTTGGCTCAGTGCTGCAAGAGTTCCGCTTCGGCTGTTGTGATTCCTATCAAGTCTTAATCCTTTCCATCCCTCAAGCTCGCGCTCTAATCTCAAACTCTTTTCCCTCTCTTCGCGAGCTTCCCTCTCTGCCCTCCTGGCAGCCAACTGGTGCTCGGAGTCGGAGGCTTGAAGATCCTCGATCGTCTTCAATAATCCTGCTAGTTTATCCTTGCCCTTGGTGATCTCTTCCTCGAGTTGGGTATTTGCCTTGTCTCTTCTCTCGATTTGCGCCTGTAGATCCCGAACTGTCCTGTCGACATTTCGTACTGAGCGTTCGCTCTTGTTTCTCTCCTTCTCCTGTTCTTCGAGCTGTTCTTCGAGCTATTTAAGGAATTAGCCGGTTTATATTAATAGAGGGCGGAAGCACAGAATGCGTACCTCTTGAACTCTGGTGTGTAGAAATCTAATGTCGTGCGAAGTGTTTGAATAGCTCTTGGTCTCTAGGTCCACAAGTTTCAATTGCAAGTCTTTCGCCAGCTTTTCTAGTTGAGCCTTTTCTTTGTGAAGGCTAACATTAGTCTCCCTTTCGACAGCGATATCTCTCTGTGTCTCGACCGCTAATGCCTCCGCGCGACGCATCTTCTCTACCGCAGCAGAAGCGATATCTTCCTGTTGTTGAAGAGAGCCCCTGAGTTCAAGAAGCTCTCTATCGATCCCAGCTGCATTACGCATTGACGGGCTGTCACTATTGGCCAGGTCCTCAAGCCGCTGGCTGGCTTCAACCAATCTCTGTTCCAAACTGCGCTTCTCCTTCTGCAGCATGTCTCGCTCTCCAACCACCTCATCGGCATTGGCGCGGAGGCTACGGACCTGAGCGAGAAGGGATACAACACGACTCTGAGCCTCGTTGTGTGCTGCCACAGCATCTTCGTGGGACTGAGAAAGATCTTGGAGCTTGATTTCGAGGCGAGATTTCTCCTTTGCCCACGTCGAGCTGTTAAGGACTTCATCATCCCATTTTGCCCGGAGATCTTCAACTTCCTCGCGGAGGTTTCTGGGGAACTAGAATCAGCCTACGCCGTAGAGCGGGTACAAGATAAAGGGTAATGTACCTGCTTTCTTGCCTGACCTGGATAACGTTTTCTCTTTCAATTTCCAACTCGCCAGTTAGTGTTGATAGCTCAGTCTGGTATTTCTTCCTGGTTTGCTCCATAGAGCTCTCTTTATCCTCCAAATCGATGGTTCTTCGGCTTCTGTAGTCGTCCAACTCGTTCTGGAGCCTCTTCTTTGCTTGGACGGCTGCGGACAGGTCTGCGGACAGGTCTTCAACCTTCTCCTCATAATGTTGGTTTTGTCTTTGGAGGTCTTCCACAAGTTGATCAAGGTGTCTCCTCTCCGCCAGTACGGATGCGGCGGTCTCCTCGGTTTCCCGGGCCTGACTCTTTGCGAACGCTTCAGCCCTGGAGGCTTTGAGAACCGATATTTCTGCTTGCTCGAGTTTGCTGAAATACTCTTCGCTTCTTGACTTGTAAAGATTCAAGCTGGCAGTGAGGTCGGCGGCCTTGGAAGCCTCCGCGTCCAAACGGATTTGCAAGTCCGCAAACTCGCTGAGCAGCTGGGCCCTACTAACTTTATCCTGTTGCTGGATCGATAGAGCATCGTCAAGCTCAGCTTGGGTCTCCCGGAGGTCATTTTCGATTGCAATTTTTGCTGCCTTGATCTTTTCAAATTGATCTTTGGCTCTGGAGAGGTCGGAGACGGTTTCGCTATAAACCAGCGCTAGATGACGGCGCGATTGCTCTTGGGTGCTAATGAAATCGTACAATTCTTCATGGCTCTTGGCTTGAACCTCTTTCAAAGATAGTTCTATTTGATTCATAGAGGCTTCCAGCGCAGAGTTCTTCTGATCCGATTCATCAAGCAAGTCATGAAGTCGGCTGTTTTCACGCTCTAGCTTAACTGCTCGTTTGGCGGATGGGCTCTGTTCGGTACCGCTCTCTTTTGCTGCTGCTCGATCTAGTTGTGCCTGTAGGTGCTTGATTTGCATTTCTGAGAGCTGTAATTGGTTTTGAACCTCCTCAAGCTCGGCGGCAAGATCCATCCTCCTCTGGAATGCCATAGTATCCATCGTCTTGTCTGTCTTTCCAGAGTCGAAGCCTTCCGCTGCAAAGTTAAGAGTCTTCCGTGTAGGAGTAGACTGGTTAGAGTAGGGTTTGTTGTTGTTTAGCGCTCTACCGAAAGGTCTGGGGGATCCATTGGGCGGTAGAGGATTCTGATTTATCTCATCAAAGAGCGCACGCTTAGACGAAGAATGCATGTTATCTATCTCCACTATCTCATCTTGGTGCCTCTTTCTTAACTCTGCAAGCTCTTTCTCGACACGAGCCCGCCTCTCATTAGCAACTCGGAGAGCTTGATTCGACTCCTCTAACTTCATGGCAAGGTCTACAGACTGGGCAACGCTTGTCCTGCCCGATTCCCAGTTCTTAGGTTGTTCACCGCGCGGGCTGAAAACCTTCTGTAGAGCAAGCAGCTGTTGATGACAGTCTTCAAGTTCAGAGTTGGTAGTTGCTAAGGCATTCTGGATCTGTCGTGTGTTCGCCTGGGCTTGCGACTTCAATTGTCTCTCCATCTCCAGGGTCCTGTTAGCCTCGGCAAGCTGAAGTTGAACAGTTGAGACGGTCTTTTCTGCGTTCCTGGTTGTCTTGTGCTCGCGTGCAACCTCATGATTCAAATCCTCCAAGTTTAGTGAAAGCTTCTCCTTTTGTTTCTCGAGAGCACGGATCTGTATTTGGGCGTCCTCGTATTGCTTCCGTAACCTCCGACACTCTTCATCGGCTTTGGTCTTCTCAGCTGTTAAAGCAACAATCTTGTCCCGGTATTGCTCACTTGCTTTCGCATTCGCTTTGTTGATCTCAAGGTTCTTTTGCTGAATCTTGTTTTGTAGCGCGCGATTGTCGTTTTCTGAGGCCAGGAGCCTATTCTTCACCGCACTGACCTCAGATTCGGTCCGTTTCCTAGAGCTCTCGTAGGCCTGGCGTGCTGAGTCTTGTTCACTCGCAACTCTCGTGAGTCGTGTAGCCTCGGAAGCGAGTCTCTTGCGCTCTGCTTCACAAATAGAGAGCGCCTCTTCTTTGGCCTTAAGATCCTTTTCTAGTCTTGCTTCCTTCTCCTTCGCTTGTCGGGAAAGGCTCTTCTCAATCTCAGATTCCGCCCGGGTTCTGGCATTTTCAGCCTCCGCAAGGCGATCTCTTGCAATCCTCAACTCGGCCTGGACGTTTCTCTTTTCCTTCTCTGACTGGGATCGTGCTTCTAGAGCGCGCCGGAGGGTGTCTTGTTGCGAATAAAGCTCTTTTTCGATGGTTACTTTGGCAGTGCTCACAGCATCGTGGTCCCGCATGAGGTTGTTGAACTTGTGCTCACTGAGAAGTGCGACATCGGCCCTAGATTGACGCTCTTTGTTTAATTCGGTCTGCAATGCGGAGAGCTCTGCTTTCATCTCCTTGATCTGCTCGTCCAGGAGACGCCGACCCTGCCCAGACTTATGATCTTCCGATATCTTTGCCTCCAGGAGTTTACGCGCATCGGCAGCTTCCTTCTCTAAGCGGGCCATCTCATGTTTCAAGGTTTCCACTTCAGATGTAGCACTTCGAAGTCTCGATAATATGTCGTCGTGTTTCTGCGTCAATTGACGTCTCTCATCATCAAACGCCTTTCGCTCCAGTTCCATCCTCTTGAGGTCAGTATGAAGGAGCGAGAGCTCACTCTCCTTTCGACGAACAAGGTCCTCATATCCGGTGGAGGTGGAGGATAGATCCGAGAGTTGATCCCTAAGTTTTCTATTCTCGTCAACTAACTCCCTTATTTGTTTCTTCCCCTCTTGCAAACTCAAATTCTGTTCTCAAAATTAGTTAGGTGATAGTAACGGCATCACACTGGGACGTACCGTTTGAGCAAGCGTCTCATCTAATTCATGATCTGATCGCTTGAGAGCTTCTTCGTAGTCGTGTATCTTCCGCTCTTTAAGAGAGAGGTGACTCCTCAGCAAGTGCACCTCCTGCTCTAGCCTATCCTGGGCACCACCTCTCTCGGTTCTCTGCTTCTCTGCTTCTTCAAGCTCGCGATCTAGAAACTCCAATCTCGCTGCCATTTCATGCTTCTCATCTTCGAGCTTTGCAATCAGATCCCCTGCTTGCTCCAATTCCTTCCTCCAAACTTCTGCTTGCTCATCTGCCTTCTTCTTCGCTGACATCAATTCGTCTATCTGGTCCTCCAACACGTCCTGGTCATCAAGAGCACCGGCAAGTTTCTCACTCAACTCCGCCTCCCGCTGTTGCATTCTCTTGAATATTTCTTCTTTATCCAACGCAAGAGCTCTCTCACTCTCCAGTGTCTTTTGAACCCTGTGCAGCTCTGCGTCTGCCTTCCTCCTATCCTCTTCAAGCCTTTGACGGTTCTCTGCTTCGGCTTGCATATGCGCTTCCATCTTCTGAATCATTTCGTCCCTTTTCTTGACCTCACCAGAGGAATGAGTAGCTCCGAGCAGTGGCTTCATTTTCATAAACAGCTTCCACCAAGGGCTTTCGCAAAGGTCGAGGTACACCTGCAGATTACGCTGAATAATCATTGTTGCTTCTGCGCGGTATAGCCTTTTACTTGCAATCTTCCTTTGCAGATATCCCCTGGAGATGCTCTGGAAAGTTGTCACTATCTTCCGCACCAAGGTGTCTCTCTGTTCTTCCAATTCGGCCAATACCCCCGCGCGAAAGAAGACCTTTGTCAGACCAACTCGGAATAAAGAACTATCGAGATTAAGCTGTTGTAGCATGAGTTGACAAGCCCTTTGGCCCTCAACGTATCCTTTAGGAATTTTCGGTGTTAGGACTTCATATCGCTGTCGGAACTCTGCAAACGGCAATCTGTTCGGGAATCCGGTTCTTGCAATCCTTATCCCTTCCAATACACCATTGCACCTGAGCTGATCCAGAACAAGTGGCGCATTTAACTTCTTGGGTCTCTTTTGATGATTAGGTATAATGCATCGGACGAAGTGGGGGTGAGTTGAATGAAGTTGAGCCATCAAGCTTGTCAACTGTTCCTTGTGTCTTTGGGCCACAGTGCGGAATAACCCTTTCTTCACACGACTCTTAATCACGTTTCCTGCCTCACTCGCATCCTCGGCATACTCGGCGAATAGTGAGGAGATATGGCTATCGTGAGAAGCAGCCAAAAGCCTCGTAATGTTCTCATTCAACGGGTCCTTATTTTTCTCCAACCATCCTTCAGTAGAATATTCAACTTCGGCAGCATAATGGGTAAGCATAAACCCTTGCTTTAGTAAAGACCGCTTGTATTTCGTGGTTTTACGATCCCAAAGCGAGTGCAATTTCTCAGTAAAGGACTTGTCGGTGGCCTTGGGCATCACGCAGTCTTCATCTAGACAGGAAAAGATACCGATAGGCTGACAGAACGAAGTGTTAGCAACCGCAAGGGTAGTTAGGATTATCATACTTACATTGGGTAGTTCAATAAGGTCAATAGTTGGCTGCAAATCGTGTCCGAAATCGATGAATTTCCACTCGATCTTCTCCTTTGCGTACTCTTCCTGCTCTAAAACGAACATGTGGTGATTGAAGAATTGTTGCAGTTTTTCATTAGTATAATTAATGCAAAGTTGCTCAAAGCTGTTTGACTAAAATTTTAGGAGGATCATGAGCTATCGGGTCAGTGGTAATATTAGGTAGATATACCTCGAAAATTTCGAAACCAGCGATATCCAAAACCCCAATAAAACTATCGCCATCACCCTTGGTGTCGAGCTTGTTGTTGACCATTTCAACAAGTCTACCGAATCCTCTCTCATATAAACCTTTGGCAAGAGCATCAAGGCTATGCTTTACTTGCTCAGCTGTCCTTGATTGGTTGACCCACTCTCTCCCGGCCCGCACTCTAGGCTTGAGCAGTCCTTTAACGAAGCTATCCAAAGGTATTCCTAGCACGTGGCACAGTTTTTCCACCTGGTTAGGATTCATTAACCGTGCGTCCTCGCTGCCGCGGCGCTCAGGGACCACATGAATGTTTCCAATATGTAAAACTGCAGCTATGACCCGGAGGATTGAAATCTGTTCGTCGGGACTGAAGCCCATTACCTGGAAAGCCTCCATCAGTGACCGGAATTCGTCTGCATCATTGACACCCGCTATCGAATTGTTACTGTCTTTGGTGTAATTCCACGCGCCGATACCCTCGTCACTCAACAAATACATATCCTTCATTTGCTTACTTGCTCCCCTTAGAAGCTGGTAGAAAACATGATAGTTCCTCTCTTCCCCCCCCTGTCGCACAACTCTACTCTTCTCAAGCAGATACCAGTCAATGAACGCGCCAGCGATATGCCCAGACCTCGTGAATTCGATTCGTATGAACTTGCCAAATCGCGACGAATTGTTATTCCGAAGGGTTTGTGCGTTCCCAAAGGCCTCAAGAATAGGATTTGCTCTGAGAATTTGAAGCTCTAGTGTCCCTAGTTGTCGCGATGATGAGTTATCGGAGGCAACCGCAGCCAAATACTGTATGACCTTTTTAGTATTTTCTGTTTTTCCGGCTCCAGATTCTCCTCTGTCAGAAGCGTTAGCAACTCTACAGGCTAAAGTTCCCGAAGCATATTTACTAACGTTACCAAGATGCTTTGATTTTCTTTCACCTCAAGCATGTTTCTGAAGGCCGCATCGGTAATAGCAAATATATGAGGCTTAGTGTCTTCCCTTGATCTATTTCTGTACATAGCTATGTATTCGTTATTGTATATGGGCAGTGTACAATAAGGGTTTACTGTAACTAAGAATAAGCCCGAATATGTCTTCGTGACGAAATAGCATTAGTTCCTGAATGGGTATGAGTTCAATCTGCATAAACTTACGTATATTAGGTCGGCTTGGTATCGCAATTGGAGGTTGTACACCACAGAGGCTTCGTTCAAGTGTGTAAGCTCAGCCATGTCGTCGGCTTTATCAAACTTGACCGGGTTGACCTTATCAACATTATCTGAATGCACTATCCGCTCCTGGTTGTGGGCTCAAGTCAGCGGATACTCATTCAAACGCAATTTTAAGCCTGAAAATAGAGCCGAACCAAGAAAACAAGGAACGCTGCGACAGATATCTTCAACAACAATTCTTGGGCATACATACCGCGCCATCATCACATCTAACTGTGAGCATTCCATCCTCATCCAATACCACCTCCCCTTTCACAAAAGCCTTTTCCGGATCCCTAACCCATACCCACCTCCTTCCAGAGAAATCACTGCTCTCTCCTGCAATACCAACACCCAGGCTAGCGGTGCTATTCCGTCTCTCATCTGTAGATTTAATAAAGTTGGGCGCAAAGGTTCCCGGCATGCCCTTCGGAGCAGAGCCACTTCGGTTATGCCGCGGAGGGGTAGTGGAAAGGGTTGAGGGAGAAAATGAAGATAAAGATTGTCGGTGGATCTTATTCGGCGGAGCAGATGCCAGGGGCACTGATTGTGCGGGAAACGACAGAGGGGCCACCGACGGCCGAGGCGGCGAAGAAGCCAAAGCCGGGATAGACAAGTCTGTGGAAGACATGGAGGTAGCGACTGCTGCGGGGGAGGGGGGCGACACCTGACCATTGGAAGTGGAAGATGATGATTTCTTGTGGGCTCCAGGGGCAGGACGGCGCTGCTGCCATGATAATAGCGCAGGAGGATTTTTCGGGGGGGTAAACCCGGAGGTAGTGTAATGATTGAAACCGGACATGGTAGTCCGGGAAAACGAGAGAAGGCAATTCCTGGTTATGAAAAGAGATTGAAGTCGAATGGCATATGCTTGTTATTTGGAGTTGAAGAGGGAAAGGTATAGTGGAGAATGTATGGGGTGGGGGGATGTATGTATACCTGTATCTGTGGATGGTGTTGACAAAAATGGTGGAGGAAAGCGGTGCTATGGAGCCTCAGTTTCCTTCGACCGACAGTTACGATAAGTTTGTGTTGGCAAAGTTCATCAAAACATAAACAAAGAGCTCAATTTGTGCTAGCCCAACAATAACCGATCCTTGGCAGGTCTTTTTGCTCCCAACTCGTGGCTCGGTTAGGACAAGTAGGAATCGCCTTATTTAGAATATTTAAGGGACTAAGCGGCCAAGGCACTGTCGTAATTTACTCGACTTGCTCGACCTCGACCTCACTATCACAGCTAGTGTCATCGCACCTCCGACATAGAACTTTGGCGCTACATGCACCCTGAATCAAGAACCTACCCTGGAGAGAAATAGCTGCTCGAAGCCGGGAGCAAGGATTTTACAGGAAGAAAGATAATAACGATTCCACCGACAGTGGAATGATATCCTAGCCAGAGAAGCGCAAAGAAAATAAGGAAAAGCAGGACAGGAGCAGGGCTATCTCCATAACCTACCGGTGTTGGACTTCAGACACCGGGGGCCCGTTCACATAACGTCTAGCCGTCCTCTTTACTCACTAACCCTAGTTTACTTGCAGCACAATTTTTACTCAACTTAACTCGAGGGATCCTCCCTCAAGCGACTTCATTTCCCACCACCACTGCTTTCTAGCTCTCTCCCTCTCTTTGCGCAACTTTTCTATTGTTCGACTCATTTATTTGTTTCAAGTCGCAAACCACAAACACGCGTGTGGAGTATTAACACCGTCCTCTAGGAGGGATGACGAGCTATCCTCCCACACCCGCCTTTGGGGGATTTCCCTCTGTACTAGTTAATACCAATCGGAAGACGAGCGCCAATACCAGTAATACCACAAGCAGTCCAACTTCGCCAGCTACGCGTTCCCCAAATTATTATCCGAAAGCTATGAGTAACACTCCTCGCCTACCATCAACCGCAGCACAAATTCCCGGCATTGAACCAACTCTTCCAGGGTTGGGTAAGCTCGTCGAGCGAACTGACAAGGCTTTGGTCGAGGACAGAGAGGAAGGCGAACTGTCTGATATTGAGGGGGGCGGCCAAGGCGCCATCGTTAACGAGATGTCAAATGGCGCCGGAGGCAGACAACAGGCTCGAGAGGAACAGCTGCAGATTTATGGGACCCGGGGTAAATAGCACTTTACATACCATGGTCATTCCTGCGCTAACTTCCTTCCTAGCGCCCAGACTAGATGGCCAAGCTCAACTATACTCGCCGAACATGCCCTCATCCTTATGGTAAATGCTTTGATTGAAGGCTCACTCGTGCATGCTAATATTGAACGGTGTTGAAGGGACGATCCTTATAGGCCACCACGACCGCGGGGTAATCATGCACATGGGTTCAAATCTGGACATGCCCCCCAGCCCTCCGCTCAGCTGTCAACCCTTCCAGGCAATGAGCTATCTTATTGCCGAGGATGGCCTACAGATTTTCAGTATCAACCCATCGAGTCGCACGAAAAAGGTAGATCGGCTTAAATTCTATCTTCACTACTTTATCTTATTTTGCCCCCTCTTCGAATGCTGTGCTTAATGGATGGAACCGCCCTTACTTACGCTTGTTTTCTTCTCGCAGAAAATCTCCAACATAAACCTCTACCCTTCTATGAACCTGAGCTATCGCCCCTGACTGGTCCTCAACACCGACCTCAATCTCATAAAGGACCCGCGGGGGTTCCCTCGCACTCCACGATGCCACAGGCCTCCTCCCAACTCTCAGCTGAAGTCTTACTCAGTAACTCTGAGGCTCTACGCAAGGAGACTGAAACTGCTGTTTCGGATATGCTCCCTTTAAAGGTGACATTCGCAAACATGGTTGAAGAAGGCATCAATCCAAGAGTTCTTAGAAAGATTTTTACAAGATTAGGTTTCCCGGTTCCAGCTGAGACTACTTCAACGACTCTAGGTGTGGATGTCAACGTCACCCAAGCAGCGCAGCAGGATGGTAGACAAATAGCTACATCAACTCCACTGCAAAGAACCGAGATCGAACGAAATGCCCAGATGATCCGAAGGCAGCTAGAGATGGGGAAGTCCGCTCGAGATAAAGAGCGTCGAGAAGCTGAGGCAAGAGCTGCAGAATTGGTTTCCGAGAGAGAAGCGGCTAGAGCGGAGGCTGAGAAAACAAAACGGTCCGCAGAGGTAGAAGCAAAGAAAGAAGTCCTGAGAAGAAAAATAGGGGAGTTAAACCTCCCAGCAAAAATTCTTCCCCACGCTCCAACGCCAGTCTCCTCGACGCCTGTTGTTGCGGCTATTGCCAGAGCCTCTGTGGACGTTCCCCGCATTCCGGGGCTCTCACTCGGAGACTCTAGCGCGGACATATCAAACAACCCACTCATCCAGTTAACGAGTCAGACAGATGAACACATTGATACAATTATGAAGGATTTGCCCACCCCGGAACCCAAGCCTCTTCCCGTTGTTTCTACGCCCGCCGTGGGCTTAACTACTCCCACGACTGTTGCAGTCTTATCTTCAGCTACGCCTTTGGAACGCCCACTTAACGTGCGTAAAAAGAGACCAGTCGCATCGGATTTGTATTCTGAACCCCAGCCCACCAAACGTAAGTTTGGTGAACAACGCTTCGGGAGACTCATTATTGAAGTCTCAGATGACGATGAAGGGACTGATGAAGCTGATGATGACGGTGGTGATGATGATGATGTTGGACATGATGAGGCAAGGACGTCGAGATCAACGCCCACCGGCACCCGCCCTCCTGGGTCGATCGAGCACGTTCAAAGAAGTGCAAGCACTGTGAACGTTAGTGTAGCACTGCGTTCCGTGAACACGGCCCCCCCTGGAACCCTCAATGCAGGTTACAAAAACGGGTCAGGAGGTACCCATGCCAAGATAGCCTTGCAATCTAAGATGGAGGAAATTGAGACACTCAAGCGAGCCATTCAAGAAGCACAACACAAAAAGAAACTTGCTGCAAAGCGTAGTGTCTCAACTCCATCAGTCGATACGCCAAATAATGGTAGTGTAGCAACACCACCTTTCGACAACCAATCCAAGCTCACAGGAGCAGAGGCCTTGGAAATCATAGCAAGCGGTGGGGCACATTTAGCAGACAAGGACCAGCAACCCCAACTTCCTTTGACCAAGGGAAAGGTGGCCCTAAAAGAGGCTGGTCAGGAGAAGCTTAAACTTTTACTTAGAGAACTTGAGGAGCTCGAAGCCGCAGAGGAGGTTGAAAAGAGAAAGCAAGCTGAATCTGAAATAGTGGAGAGCAAGAGAAGAGCGGAGAAACAAGAGAAGAAGAGGAAACTTGAGGCCTTTGAGACTGTCAAGATGAAGAGTATGGTAGCGAGGCAGAAGCTCAAGGAGGAGATGGAGAGAATCGAGAAAGAGGAAATGGAGATTGAAGAGAAAAAACTTTTACTCGAAAAAGAACTGGAGACACTTGAACAGGCAAGCGGCAGCGGTTTTACTGCAGTCGAGGGCAGCACCGAATCCATAAATGAAGCACTCAAGAGGAAAGCTGCTGAAATCGAAAATTTGAGAAAGCTTATGGAGCGTACCGAGGAAGGTAAGCGAGCTCTGTGCACCCCTGCCCAAAATGCCCCATTCTCTTTGCTACGCCCACTATAGGGTCATTTTGACTGCGGTCACAAACAGGGAGACAACCCGGCAGAAGGATGTCACGAATGAACGCTTATGCATTGACCCCGGCTATAGATGACAAAACGGATGCCGAGAACTCCCCCTCTGGTTCATCTCCCTTACAGAGCGACCAAGCTTTGTCGTTTTCCCCCAGGTCCCCTCCTCACTCCCAGGAATTTCCAAGCCCTATCCAATCCACTGGTGGCCAGCATCCGGTGGCCAGCAACAATTCTACAGCAAGTGTAGGAAATAGACCAGCAGCCTTCCACAAAACCACATCAGCTAATGTATCGCCCAATGAGATACAGGCTTCCAACCAACAGTTCCAGCAGGCCGCAACTCTGGCTCCTACAGCTCAATCCTTTGAAACGAGACCGCATGAAGTGATGGATGTTGACGACAAGAGCGCTCTAAAGAGCAGCCAAGCTAATGACCATGAGTCTGACATGGACATCGACATGGATGCTGATATTGAATATATGGACTCTGTTCACGGGGATGTTGCTAATGATGATCCGTCTTCCGGGTCATCGACAACTTCAAGCTCTAGTGAAAACATTTCTTCTAATGAGGAAATCATAGCAGGACCGCAGGTTCAGAACAAGCCGGTGAAGGATAATAAAGCAAGCCCAGAAGTTGTTCGCACAGTAGTTACAGGACAATCTCTCAAATCACCTCAAGACGAGGCTGCGATCAAGAACACGTCTGGTGAGGCTAATGTATCTAGAATAGTGCCCGAGCAAAAGTACCATCGTGTCAGCGACGAGGTTGTGGCTAGCAGCAAGGTTTGCCCCGATGTCTAATTCTATGCTTGATAACCTATCTCTTCAATTCTATCGTTCGCTAACCACGAATCTCACCGTAAAAATTCTTTTGCGTTTGTGGTTCCGAACTATATAGATTTGCACTCACGTTAAACCACCTAATGACGTCTTCACTGAATACGTTTCACCCTTATCAATTTTCAAGTCATTTCGCTACCATCCCCGATATCTCGAAATGGTTCCTGGTGGATACAAAAGTCTCACATATACCAACCGCATTCAGCCGCTCAAGCAGATGTGTATGTTCGAATTTAATGGTGGCGTATGTAATGATCGGGCCTGCTCAAACCAACATTTTAGAGAACTTGAAGTATCCGGTATATCCCCTCTCCCTCCGAACATCCCTTCGGCTAATGGAAGATAACTAGATGCCGATATTCTTGTCGAATTGGCCTCCGCAAAAGAGGGCAAGACAGAAGCTGAGCAGGCGCTTTATAACCAAGGCCTTAGGGAGGAGATAGAGAAGTTGAAGGCTCAGGGGATCAAAGACTTCATGACAGTGATCGCCGGGATCGTGGCGTATCGCAGAAAGTTCTTGGGAGACGAGTCCAGAGTCCTCAAATTACCCTGATATGCACTTAACCACCTTAAAAATTTCCTAGACTCATTAGCATTGTATAACTCATTGCATAAGCGCTATTTTAGTTTACCGCCGTATTTATGGGCTTGTTGCAAAAATCGGCTATGTCTCAATTCGCTTTCCTGTATTATTATTACCCTCGCTCCGCGTATTTACCCTTTGATGTTCGCTCTAGTACATAGGCATATTTCCTTTATTATTCCCTTTGTGCTGATTTTCATAAGTCCATCGTAATATGGGTTTCCTTTTCTTCTTTCTGGCTGCCGAAAATTCTATCCTCTAATGTCGTTGCACTTCCCGATATTATACCATACATCCCACTAGGTCTCAATTGGCAGGAGGGCGGGGGGTATCATAAGTTAGATGAGAGCTTTACGAGGAAACTCTCTAAATGAGCACAGAGGAAGCCGTAGAAAAAAAAAAATATGGGTGCGATGACCGCCTTTTATGGGCGCTGATGCTCCGGCAAGCCGAAAAATACAAACATAGACTAATAAACAATTTCACTCAATAGGCTGCCCTTTCAGGCCAGAGGCTCTTGAGACACCCCGCAAACCAGGACATTAATGACCAACCCCGCTTTCCGTATCGATTGGTGGTCCCTAGATCGCCGCCAATCACATTGAAATGACCCGAGTAACCTCTTAACCAGATTTGATTAACTAAATGGCTTCTCCTCCATCCCCATCCCCGCCACCCTCTTCTAACCGGGCCAATGATGCAAGATCTGTGGGGTCCCCTCTCTTACGCTTTCCGCCTCCATTACCACCATCTCCCCCAGCTGCCCACCCACCTACATCCTTTCTGGCCATGAGCTGCAATTCGAGGACTCTACTCCGACTCTCCAATTTCCTATTCCAATCATCAAGCTTTTCAAGCTTTTCCTCCAGCTTTTCTATTTTGGCCTCCAGTTTCTCGATCTGCTTGGCTTTCTCTTCATTTATGCGTTCAAGCACCTTGACCAACGAGGAGCTTTCTGCAGGTCGAGGAGCTACTGTTGCTGTAGGCGCCTCACACACAGGTCTTCCTCTAGGCCGTTTTGCGGGCGGGAGTGGTAGAGGCGTTGAAGCAGGAGGCTGGCTTTCGCTGAACCGGTTTTCCAGGGAAGCTCTAGCAATCGGGTATGATGGACCAACGGCTGTAGCGATGAGACCTGAATCGTAACTCGCTTCAAGATCTGTATCGCCTTCATTCCCCGCATTTTCCAGATCCCCGGTTACCGGCATACCCATATCCCCCCTCTCGTCCGTGTCCCATGCATACTTGCTTGTGTCTTGCGCGCAGTTGTAGGCCGTCACCCCGGGAGCATTCATGACACGGGATTCCCTATTTCCTTAGTGTCAGACGTGACGATATTTATGCCCCTCTATCCGAAGCTCACAACGTACCATTGTTTCTTCAAGCTATCGAGGGTGCGCTTCTTGTAACCGTTTCCCTGCGCCCAAAGATTATACTCACCGAGGACTACAGCCCAATGTGTCTCAGTTTCAACTGGGTGGTGAGCTCTGAGGAGCCTCGAGAGCTCCGCTACCCCCGCCTCCGTGAAATCGCTCTTGACCCAGGGGTTTCTGGGCCTTTTGATTCTGTTTCCTGTTGCATTTCGATCTTCGGCCGCCGCTTCGGCTACTTCCCTATCTCTAGTATCAACCTCAACTACCGTCATGCGTTCCTCCGGACTCAGTCCCGGGCATTCGTCAATAAGGTGTCGAGTACGATCTTCCGACCTCCCCTTAGGTATCTTTTTTTGGCATTTGAGGCAGGTAACTTGGTATTTGTTTGAGCGGTTAGGGAGTGGCGTGTCCTTGTTGAAATATTCTCCCCATTTAAAAGGTCGGGGCATGCTCGAGTAAGGTGGTTCCTGGATCAGTTCAATGTACTTTGCCGGCTTTATCTCCCTTCCTTATCGGAGACGGCAGCGGAGTAGAGCAGGGGTAGGGTGATTTTCCCGAGGATGCACAAAAGCATGCAGAGAGGGTCGTGGGAATATTGCCGAGGGTGACTGAGCTTTCTAGATGAAGTTTGGTAGAATGTTCAAATGTTTGCTGTATTTTTGAGGCGAGGGGTTGATTCCGTGCTCCGCCTTACCGGACGGAGGTGGGAGCTACGAGTGGTTTGTGGCGGCCGGAAGGTAAAGAATGTGTCGCAAACAAGCTACATAGGAAAACGAAGCAAAACCACAGATCAACTTTTAGGCTCTCACAAAGTACTGTACAAGCATAGCCGAAGCGCGACCTTATCACACATAGCATCCTCATTTATCAGAGCTTGGATATTCCAAAAGTGGATTAGGGTAGGGTACTCAGCGGGGAAAAAATAGTTTGTTTTCGTTCGGGACTGTTTGTTGAGCCTCCAATCCTTCCTGCAACCCCTCCATCCTCCTGCCGTGCGAGTTCTTTTCAATTTGCAGCATTTTCAACCAAACACCACGGTAATGGCTTATCGAGCACTCGCTTATCGATCCCGTTTCGCGCGTTCCCTGGGTCTCAATATCCGCGCAGTGGGGCGCGTAACCCCGCCTCCTTCACCATTGTCTTTACAGCCCAGTGGACGGAACACCCCACTTGCCGCCGTCTCACTATTCTCTACCACCGCCCCGCATGGCCGGGGAGGGATGAACATGGACGAGGCGGGAGAGATGTATGCTTTTGACCCTGCGGATGAAGCTCAATTCTCCCAATCTGGGGAGGATGAAGCTCAATTCTCCCAATCCGGGGGGGATGAAGGGGCTGAACCCCCGGAGCTCACCCCCGATGATAAGAGGACTGAGCGCAAGTGGAGTTGGAAGGAGGCTAGTTCGAGTAATTCCGGGGGCATCGACCCCAATGATACTACCGTATACCCAACCACTTCAGAGCTTGCCCATAGAATTCTGAGAAAGACTTGGGGATTTGATGAATTCCGTCCAAGACAGGAGGAGGTTATATCCAGGTTGATCCATGGGGGAAGTGCAGTCATCGTCTTCCCCACAGCTAGTGGTAAGAGTTTGATTTTCCAAATTCCTGCTTTGGCCTTCGATGAGTATGACGAGAGCATGGGCCAAAAAAAGGGAGGGATCTCGATTGTTGTCAGCCCTTTAATTGCTCTAATAAAGGTTTGTCATTTGATATCCCAATGGGAAAATCTTGAGTTTTCTAATGTAGCGGTTTTTCAAAAGGATCAAGTCGACGCTCTCCAAAGAAGGGGTGTTGAAGCTGCGGCCATTGATTCTACGCAGACACGTGAATCTATCCTCAATACCAATGACCTTTTGAGGAAGGGAAAATTGAAATTGCTGTGAGCTTATACAATGAGATCTTACTTGATACCAGCTGACTAGCTTCTGACCTCTAGCTATTGCGCGCCTGAACGTCTCAACAACGAGGGATTCGTTGAAACGATTAGAAAGACTCGTGTTCGCTTAATAGCTGTCGACGAAGCCCATTGCATTTCTGAGTGGGGACAGGCATTCAGGCCTGATTATCTCAAGAGTTAGTCTTCATTCCTACCATAAGACTTTATTACTAATACTGTTGTTGCGCCATAGTCGCTCGGTTTGTCAAAGAAATGAATGCAGAGAGGGTTTTGTGTCTCACTGCTACTGTAAGCTGCCATCTATTCTATGGGAGCCCTATTTTTCTATACAACCACCACTTTCCCTCGGCTGGAATGTTGACGCAGTAAACTAACAATTCGTCTTAAGGCCACGCCAAAAGTTTGCGAGGATATCCTTAGAGGCTTCGGTGTCCCGGATAATGGGCTGTTCAAGACACCCACCTATAGAGAGAAGTGAGTGCCTATTGTGTGAGAGCTGGTTGTGTTATTTTCTTTCGTGGCCTATAGATAATAGGTTTGCTGATGATCCCGCTTAGTCTTCAGCTTCTGGCAGAGCCCTTTGACACAATTGAGGATAAATTGCCCAAGCTAGTCGATTTCTTGAATTCGAATCCCGGGCCATCCATCGTCTATGTCACCACTCAGAGGGTCAGTGTCTACTTGCGGTTTCCCACATATAACCTGCTTTAGTCTAAAGTCTCTTCGCCCCTTTTTGCACAAATTGATCCTGATCCATTTGTCTAGCAAGCCGAAGAAGTAGCTCAAGCCTTGGGTGCGGCTGAGGTGAAGGCAATGCATTATCATGCTGGCATGGACAAACCCGAAAGAGCGTTCGTTCAAGACCAATTTATGGATCGGAAGGATTTAACGGTAATGCCACGGAGCAAGCCCTATACACACTATTGCTGTTTTGCTAACCGCCCTCTTCGGGATTAGATTGTCGCCACAATTGCTTTTGGTATGGGCATTGATAAGCCCGATATCAGGAACATTATCCATTACGACTTCCCACGTAGCTTAGAGGGCTATAGGTATGTAATTAACCTAGGCAGCCCCTCTCTCTAAATTCCTCATCTAACGGCCACAGTCAAGAAATTGGGCGTGCAGGTCGTGACGGCCTTCAAAGCAAGTGTATGCTCTACCTTTGTGGGGAGGACTGGTGCCAACGTGAATTCTTTTGCCGCATGGATCTACCAAGCAAAAAGAATGTTGATAATCTTCTAAGGGAGCTGTTTACGTCGAATGAGGAGGTCGAGGCCGGAGATGTCATAGAGACGAATGCCGCCCAGGAAAGCAAGACTCACGATATCAAAGTCAGTTGTCTCTTGAATTTGCTGCATCTCAATCTTAAAGGCTAATAGTAAACTAGTTAAACACCCTTAGCCTTCTCTATTCCCAGCTCGAACTTCGCTTCGAAATTTTACGGGCCATCACACCAAAGTACTCGATATTCAGATTTGTGCCGTCTGATTCTTTTGAGAGTTTTATCGCTACCGACGAAGATCCCATTGCAAAAATTATGCTAGAGAAAGTCCAAAAGAAAAGAAGAGGAAAGATAAGATCCGTGGATATTGACCAGATCAGCCAGGAGAATGAAATCAAGCGCGAAGAACTAGTCTACCGGATCCAGAGCTGGGCGAACCAGGGTCTGATAGAGTTGAAGACTAGCGGCGTTCTCCAGCGTTATCGTATGCTCAAACCATTCCCAAGGGATGAAACAGATATCCAAGAATTGATCGACAAAGCTTATGAGCAGATGGAACATCGCGAGCTGGAGGATCTCAGCCGTAGCAAAAATGTGATTAAGCTAATGACAAGTCCCGGATGCATCGCGCTGGGCCTAGCAAAACATTTTGGTGATGAGGGCTCAGTTGGCGAGGAGGGCTGCGGGAAATGCCAGTTCTGTACCACTGGGAAGCCGCTTGTGATGTCGGACCCTATAATAAAGAAGAATCCTGTTGATCCCGATCGCGTCACAGCGATCTTGAGAGCCTGTAGGGTGCGGGATGATCCTAGGTTATTGGCAAAGGTCGCATTCGGGATATCAAGCCCCCGTATCACTAAGGAGAGATGCGGTAATGGGAGCCACATATTTGGGAGTATGGCTGATTGCGACTTTGACGTATGACTTCCCAAATACAACCCTTCGAAAACACTCGCTAACCATCCTCTAGGAATTGATGACTGAATTTGCCAACCATTGTACACCAGAGGAGGAGTAGGTTTTTTTTACCCTTCCCGCATCGAATGGGAGGCTCGGATTGCTTGTCTTTAGTTTTCTGTACTTACCTGTACATATGCGTCCCTCATAACTACCCTCTCTCCTCACCTTGATCGCTGCGCCCACGTATTGTGCCATGAACTCGAATTTCACAGTATTATACGGCACATGCTCCAGCGTCTTGTGGAATGTCCCTATTTCATTATAGCCATACCAACGTCACAAATTTGGGTTTTATCCGATCAGAGGATCCCATTAGAGTCTGAGCACTACGCCTATCACCCGCCTTACTCGGCTTATTGGACTGCTGAATATCCAGGTCCGAGGGCCATTACCGCACCAGGCCTTCGGGTATCTTCCGGTGAGGAAAAAAACGGCTGCTGTGCAGTGCATATCCTTCTCAAACAGGCAACTACCGTATTCCCAAATACAGTGGGCTTTAGGTAAACACATTATGATTTTGAATATGGTGCAAGAATGCATAACTGTCATCATTGAAGGTTTTCAATCAAGTATTCCCTACTTAATTCCTGCCCAAATTGCTTGAAAAAACTGTAGAAATATTAGCAGACTGAAGAAGAATAAAAGTATAGTTTTTTTTTGATTTGTAGAAGCAGCTCAGAGGATAGGAATACAGCTTTTAAAAGACCAAGTTTAGGTGTAAAACTGCAGGTCTCAGTAGTAGGATGCAACATCAGGATGCTGACTAATCATGATTCCCTTGTCATTATACAAACAGAAAAGACAAATGAATATTGAAGGTATTATAATGTAAAATATATAACAAATAAGTATACTAATTATTTCTTAGAAAAGCAGTACCTGAATCTTTAGATTCACATATGCTTATTGTAATTTAAAAGGTATGGGCTGATACAGAGAGGATAATAAGAAATTATTATAAGAGAATTATTTTTAGTACTCTTGACTTTAAAGAGAAGGTTAAAAAATATGTAAAAGTTCTTACATAGTATCATACTTAGAAACTATTACATTAAATTACTATATATCTATAACTTGAATGTACTTCCTGATTACATCATTTATATTACTTCACAATCCATCACTCATGTATAGGCTTGGCACTTTTGTTGCACAGCCACTGTTGTATTTGTCTGTGCCACATGGTTGACAGTCTTGCCTTCTTGAACCATATAGTCAGGACTTCTACTGGCTTTGATTAAGCCAAAAGCAATGTCATCCCCATCCCACAGCGTGCCTAAGCTTGTGGGATAGAACCTAACTTGTGAGGATACATGTGCGTCCACTGGTTGGGTCCAACACGTACAGTATGATATTGTATACTGATACACGTTTTAGCCAACCCGCCACCGCCCTGATGCCTGCACATTAGGTTATTCGTTCTTCTCTCTTCCCACCTGCTATGCCACTATCTCACCCCTCCGTCATTTGTTTACCCTTCATCGGTTGGTCTCGAGCACCCCTTGCCCCGATCTTACATACTACTAGCTGTGTCCCTCCATTCGGCCTTCCTGATCTCCCAGGGCCTCCAGGACTCTTGTATAATCATAGCCACATTTAGAGGCTTCTATAATGGCACCCCTTGAGATTCTTCCCGGCGAGCTACTCATTGAGGTCGGAGGATGCCTGGTTGACCTGGATAATATCAGTTTCCATGACCCGAACAGCCTTGCACCGACTCTTAGGCGCTTTGCACTCAAGAACCTCTATCTTATTCATTGGGCAGCGGCAGAAGGTCATCATCACCTGGTAAAATTACTTCTTGATGCGGAGGTTGAGGTTGATCGCCAGACCCCCAATCGCCGTACTCCTCTTCAGGCTGCTGCTTACAGTGGGAAGCTCGAGGTTATGACATATCTTCCCTACAGAGGTGCAGACGTTAGCGCGCACTAAACCTAGCACAGAACCTCTCTCCACTATGCTCTCTTCCCCCTCGAGGAGAAGTATGATAAGGAAAACTCTGTCAGAGCCCTGCTTAAATACCGGAGCTGTGAGAAGATCATCAACGTCAAGGACAAAGACGGGCACATCCCTCTTCATTGGAACGCTCACTAGGGGGCAAGTGCAAAGATTGCCCAAATTCTCTTGGCGCACTGCTGCCAACCCGAACAACCAGTGGAAATGTAGCAAGGCCCCCCCTTCACATTTCTGCTGATGCTGGAAAGTATGCAATAGCACGTCAACCGATTACAGCTAGCGTGAGCCTCACCGTTACGGACATCCTCTCGAGAACACCCCTCCACCATGCTGTCCGAAGTGGACACGAGCGCCTCGCCCGCACCTTACTCGCTGCCGGATGCCCTATCTGCGTTCGTAATGTCTAGGGAAAATAGGCTCTACACAGTGCGGCAGAGCAGGGCCACGAGCACATTGTTGGCGTCCTGCTAGCTTGGGAGCGGAGGCCGCTGATACGCTTGACCATTGGAACAAGACCCCCCCTCAAGATGGCGAAGGGTCTGGGATGGCCAAGAACCAGCAAAATGGTATTGTGGGAGCAAAGGTGCGATATATGGGATATGGTGAACAAAAAAAATGAAAAGAAAATTCTCTAGAGTGAGGTAAGCCTACTCCATAACCACCCGATTATTATATCCCGTAAGCCGGTGATATATCCATCATAGATGCAGATAGACACGTCTACGTGTTGGCTCTGCTCCGTGGCTCAGCTTGGGTAGCTCTCGATTGTTATAATCCCCGCTTTCCTCTCTTTATTTCCACATTTTTCTATAAGGGTCCTGATATCTCCCCTGGTATTACATATTGCATTCTTTTCTTTTCTTTTATCCTCTATTTGGGTAGAAGGACCCAGGCACAGCTTTTAATCTACAAGTGATGACTCGATCATTTGACGATGCTTTGTATTCTTTCGGCGCTCCCTTCGCTGGACTTGTAATCCGCCGCCACATACCGTAACACAGTATATTCATGGCTGTCCGTCCCTAGCTCCTAGTGGATACCCTCACTTAGGCTAGGAATAAAGGATCAGCGGGTTCCCCCAACGAGCCAAAAAAAAAAAAAACAGTTGCAACCTTTTCCCTAGTAGAGAGAGGCCTTATGACCAATAAAAGATGATATTCTGATAAATCGACCAGTCAATTTTCTTTAGACAGGGACCTCGCAATCCGACTGTGGAGAGGAGAGTCGATGGAGCACTAGGTCGGTACGGTGAAAGTGCGGTACACCAAGCGGATCCTACCAGGTTTTACGCCTATAACTCTCCTGCCCTGAAATCTCAAGAAATAAATTTGTCGTGCTCGCAGTGCTCTGTACAGTACAGAAAGATTCCTGTCTCCGAGTAGCCAAGTTGGATAGCCTACCGGTCACAAAGAGCTGCATCTCCTGTATTTTCGCGGTAGCGCAAAGGAGTGGAAGGTCCATTATGCTGGGTAACAACATGGTGTTTCCCCCCAACGCCATACCCCCCTCTTCCCCGGTTTTACGGCATCTCTACTGGGGTATGGCCAGCAGTTAAATGTGCTGCCATGCACTTCGTCGTGAGTGGAGGGGAAGGGGGGGTCTTTCCAATTGAGTTATGATACTTACACGCGTCTGGGCTCTGTGATCGGACATATATCATACCCGATGGCGCAGAATACGGTATTCGTTAAAACACCCTGTGGGTCTGGAGGTTGTTGGCATAAGTCGGATTGTACGGACGGATGTCAATGATTACTCTTGTGGTTTACCTGCCAAGAAGTCGATTGATGTGGGACGCTACTACTGGCAGAGCTACAGACATATATATAATTGTGGATGCATCTCACACGAGCCAGCACAGGCAGGATTCCCCCTCATTTCCCGAGGCCATGCCTGTGAGGATCGGGGATACCGAGGAAACATGATTCAGCGGGAATACGCATTTTATAAGTGTCAGTTATTTATTCCGTAACCCTTGTCGCCGTCCCGTCATCCATATCCATCACCGTGGCCTGCTGCTTTGCACGCCGTCTAGCATCCAGAAAGGTGATCTGCGTTACCGCGTCCCAAGTCAGCAGATACGACAAACCTATGGCTGGACCCAAAGAGAGGAACGCAACTTACGAATTCGGAATACGTAACGGGCATAACCTCCACCTTCTTCCCCACAAAGAACGTATAATTGAACACCCCAGTCCCAGTGGAAGACCCGTGCGCAACATCCCGCACCGAGCTCCGAACAGAAACCTGAACCCTTGACCCTTCTTTTCGGCGCTCCGTGTACGCCACTGTAGCTTCTAGGTACAGTATACTCCCTACAGGGACCGGAGCTTGAAACGTGCTCGGTTCTAGCGAGAGAAAGGTAGGTCGGCAATGGGCAAACGCGGAGCAGCAGCAGAAAGCCAGCTCCATAGTCACTTTCAGAAGGTAGCCGCCAAATATCATGAAGGAATGGCGGTTACGGTGCTGGGGTTGCATCATTGCGGTGCTGGAGATTCTGGTTTCCGACATGTATACTGTCGTCTCGGGCTTTGGAAGAGGATTCTCGGGGTCTGTGTATTGGAGGTGGGTTAGGTACGTCGCGTGGATTAGGAGTGATTCTTCCGGAGTTGGTGTCTGAGTTGTTAGAGAGGCCTTTGCGATAGCTTTTTTAGCCGCCTTTCTGGCTGGTGAAGTCAAGTCAATATCGTTCCCCCCCTACAAATTAGGCCAAAGGGAAATGGGGTGAATACCTTCCCCGCCACGGAATATTTTTTTCTCCTCTGGTGTCTCGACTATCAATGGGCTTACTTTGGTGGGTCTATCAATGTAAGAGCTTTAGAACTCTGTCAGTCTGGCCTTGCAAACTTACTTTTTAGTCTCCGGGTTGAGAGCGACCATCGTGAATGCGCAAGTTAACAGTAACCCATCATCCCCCGGGTGCCCAGCTCTTCTAGCCTCGATTGAAACTTCCATGGAGGAGCTTCCGACATATGAAACAAAACCACTAAGCTCAAGGTCACAGAGATCTTCCAACGGGTTGATGATAGATATTCTGTCCACTGCAGCGGTCACGTTTGCCGTGCTAGGCCCAGTATGTTTGTAGCCGACCACGCCCGCGAGCGCATCAAGGTCTTGGAGAAAACTGCCAAGGCGCAGCTGCCCACTAGCATTTACATAAGAATCCACAAGCCACTCGTCTCTGGAAAGTGGAAGTATCTTTATACAAAGATGTTTGTTAGCCCAATTGCTCCATTGGTGATGGATCGAGCACTAACAATCTTATGATAACTATCCGTCATCCGCTTGGGGGCTGGCTCCTCTGTCAAGTTCGCTGGGAGGATAAGCTTTACTCCAGCTTCACGCTCTGCCAGCGCCTGAAGCCAGGTCTTCCGAGGCTTTGTTGCCGAAAGCTCCTTATATATGCCATCGTATCGGCATGCCGGGAGGACGCCGAAATTGCGCCGGGCAGGGAGGAATACACGTGCTGGATAAGCGCGTGGGAAGCGTCTTGCTAAAACCGCACGCGACATAACGTGATTATCTGAAAGTATCGAGAATGTGGGGGAGATGAGGTTCCTCGGGGGGGGGGGTAGTGTTGAGGCTAGGAATAATGATTATCCGGGGATCTCTGGCAAAGATAGGAACCCCCCTGCCAGCCCCCACGACCGAGGCCCGGAAAACAACCCCCCCCCATTCACGTCTTACCAAACACAGACACATACCGGTACTTTAATGCCTGGCCTGTGTGATATTGCTGCCTTGATTTTAAGGTTTTCTTATTATTATCATCCCCACTGCCCCGTCCATCCTTACTTATGCAGAGTAAGCGATGGCGGTTCTGGTCCCGTCCGCCCGTGATATCTTACTGTCATATGATACTGCAGACCCCATCTCACCACAGGTCCAGGGCTTTGCCGCAGCGCTATATGCGAAGAAACTCCGTTCGTGCCAGCACCGGCACCGCAGCAGAGGACCCACGGAACCCACAAGTTACAGAGTGCCAGCCAGAGGTAACAGCTATCCCCATCTGCTTATCCGGCGGGGCTGCCGCCGCGTCCTTCCACGACATGTAGCAGCTCTTTCTCACCTAGTGTTCCGTGCGATGTATTCTACCGGCGCAGTAGACTCACCCGCTCACCCGCCCTTGCTGGAGATGATGCATTAGATCGACCAAATTTTGCTCGAAATGGGTTTCACACAAAATGCCCTGCCACAACGCACATGGCGAACGGTACTCGTAGAGTATCTCTTGTGCTTCCGAATGGTAGGAAGCCGTGGAAAAAGAAAAAAGGAAAAAAAAGAAAAGCAAAGAAAAAGAAAGGCCTCAATGCACAAGACTGTGACCCACTGGTGGTCCGGTCTAGAATAAGACAATTGCACTCTACAAAAAGCCCCCCCGGCCGTCATTACCACAGTCATCCCATACTACCGGTATTACACCCTCGTTCCATTTCGCAATCACGCGCATTAACAGTTGATTGAAACTTTGCGGCGTATATATCGAAACATTGAATTCAGCCTGCCAAAACGATGCCATCACAAAGCAGGCAAGGGAAGGCACGATAGGGAAGGAGGGAAGGAGGGAAGGAGGGAAGGAAGAGGTGTGGTAGCATCCGGACACAAATCCATGCTTTTACATGGCTTTCGGGAACGGTGCACGTATACGAGCGCAATACTCTACCGCACCTGACACGTTTCAGTCTCGTCCCGGTATGATACCAGTCCCTTACAAGTGCTTGCATATACCGGTACCGCGCTCGCCCAGCACTGTAACCCTTCGCCCCGCCGGGCCAAGAGTCATTGAACAGGCCAAGCCCATAACTTTGGCCCCATGCGTAACGTGGCTCCGCTATTTCTCCCTATATACGGTAACAGCGAAGAGGGGATCAGTGATTTACGGACGGAGGGGAGGGTTTTAACATGTTTACGGGGATCGGGACAGATCTCAATAGCCTAACGGCGGCATGAAGTCAGAAGAACAACTGACCTTCCCCACTCAAACACATTTTATTTATTCTTTCTTTTTTTCCCTCAGTCAAAGGATTCGAAATTGGGCCTCAATTCCCAAGGGAAACGCACGTGGGAATTTTGATTGTTTTTTTTTTCTTGCGGGCTTTCGGAATAAACTGTATTGCCATGGAGGACCTTGGTGCGTGTGTGGGGGTGGGTTTCCTTTTTTTAGCAGCCGGAATTCGGTGGGTGCACTCGGTGGACATCCACAGGAGGGATTTTTTCCTTTTTCCCTTCCCTTCCTTCCTTCCTTCCCTCCTTCCTTCCCTCCTTCCTTCCTGTTCCTCTCCCTTTCCCCCGAAAACGCCACGCTGTTTCGGAGTTAGTATGGTACCTAGCATATCAAGCCGCTTGGGTCTGGTTCAAATGATTGTTCCCCCGATGATGGCGGGTGCCGGCGTACCGTGCACGCCGCGAGGTGATGGTGTGGGGAAACCAAAGGGTTGAATACAGTATGATCGCCATAAAGTACCACGCCGCAGAGAAAGGTACAGTAGCACCAGTCCATCATCCCGAAGGGCAGTGCTCACACCAATTGTACATAGTACACCTCGTCGGAAAAAGTGCAAGTCCACTCCATGAACCCAACAACACCTACCCCACCTAGACTACTTGTACTGTGCGTCCATCTACCCCCAGAGCATTGTCAGGAAGAGTTCATTATAGAGGGTCCCCACTCGTGCACATCCGTCCGCCCCCCCATGACGAAGCGAGGGGAGACACGCACGGCGGATGGCAACATCACTCTTCGTTACGTACGAGTACAGTACAGTACTCCTTCACGATCCATTAACTCAGCATTAATAATTCCACGGCATTTTCAACACTTACCCCACCTCTCCCTCCCATTATCTCCCGTTTTTTTTTTTCGCCCCTGATCTCCACGGCCTCCTCGAATTGCAATTCAATAGTACAGCGAGGAAGTTCCATAATATATTTTTGTATAGTAACAGCAGCACCAACACCACACAATAGATTGACGCGATGCACGGCATCGATGTTTAATGACATCCTATCCCGTCCACCCAACGCTTCATGTTTGATCGCCCATGGACCTCCTTTTTCAACTCCCCGCAGCGGCTGACAGCAAGGAGGAGAGCCATGATCGATTTGTAAATCATTCATTCCCCCGCAATCTGAACGATTTCAATCACCGTGAAACGTAGTCCCTCATGCGGTACCGTTTCTTTTGTTTTTCTTTTCTTGTTCTTTTCTTTTCTTTTCTTTTTCCTCCGTTTCAATATGGAAGAAAAGAAGGGAACGTGACGAAAGAAAAGAAAAAAGAAAAAGAGGATAAGGGGGAGGGGGCTTACGGAAGAGAACATTCATCTGTCATGAATAAGCAATGTATCCGTTCAACTGGGTCTTTGGTGAAAACTCGAAAAAAAAATTAAAAAAAACTCCACTCCTTAACAATACACGCCTTATTCCACTAATACCCCTCCTCCGTATGTAAGTGTAAGTGAAACTTGCGAATCGGAATCGTGGTATGTACCCCGTACCGGCTTGTACCCGTACAGTATCGTAACAAAGTTTACCTACCGCACTGGATCACACGATAGTCTATTATCATACCCACCCGCGCGATACGATACACAGCGCCAAATCACACAAGTACCATAACGACCATGATACCGGCACGGTACCTCAAGAAACCCGGAATAAATAGAAGTCAACGCTGAGACGTCGGGAAACTCCCCCCACCCCCACCCCCCCCCCCTTTGGCACATTACCGTACGCGGGGGGAGGAAATCAGCTCATGGAAAGGCATGACTTTCTTTCTTTCTTTCTTTCTTTCTTCCTTTCTTTCTTTCAGCACATCCGCCAAGGTATGAGAAATAAATAAATAAATAAATAAATAGAAAAGAAGAATTTAATTATAAATATAAATGGACCCTGCTTGCTGGGGATGCTTCCAAGGTCCTATTATTATATGGATAGCACGAGGTTCGAGTGTTCCAGCCTTATGGTAGTGTCATGCCGTACTAGTACCAGTATGATACATACCGGTATAAGTCAGTGCCGTACCCGCTCTGCCGGCATTATTTGTCATTTCCGTGGGGGGGGCATGGAGGAAATCGATACAAGTACAAGTACCACTACCGATACGCCGGAAGTGTGCGGCCGGCCTCACGGCTAGCAAGCAAAGAAAAACACCCGTTAGGTTGGTTATATTCGTTGGATCCCCGTTCGCAATTGAAAAGGGTTTATCCCTTCTCCCATCCAAGAGGCGTACTTACTTACAAGGCAAGTTCGGGATTTGTACCGGGGACGTTCACGATACTCGTACGGCGCGGTACAGTACGACGCCAGTACCGGGCATTGTTTCCTATCGCTCGCTACTCGAGTATCATACCGTATCATGCCCGTCTCCCAGGGCCGGAAGCGGGATCTAAACGTCCGAGTTCATGGGGTGGGGGGGGGTTTTTTTTTCTTTATCCTATCCATTCCGAACAAAAGCCTCTCCCCCTTCCTCACTGATACCGTGACCTATTCATATAAATTCCCAAGTACCCCCAACTATGATACCTATCATGACGACCCCCATCTCCAACCCCCAACCCCCAAACCGCTACAGCGCTCAAGTGCCCTTTTCCGGACCATCATCTCCGCTCCCTCCCTCCTCCCTCCCTTTCACCCCCGCGGAGCGAGCACATTCCTCCCCATCGGCACTTTTTTTCTTTCCTTCCCTTTCTCGCACCGTTCTCCGTAATGGGAGATGGCGAGGAAGTTCGAGTGATTTCCCATGAAGCATGCATGGGTCACCACTCTTTTTTTTTTTCTTTTTTTTTTTTTCCCAACTACCGTGTTCCACGAACGGTTGACTTCGCCCCACAATGGCGTGTTCAACGTCTCTTTCACCTCACCCCCCCCGATTCTGCGTCTACCGAAACATTCGAGTGCAGGCAAGGGGATGTCAAGACTGAATTTTATACCCTAGCAAAACTCATTATTATATTATCCATCTGGCTATTACAGTCGACAGGGTAGTTCACGCAGGAATAGAGTAATAATAAAAAAAATAGAAAAAAACATATACCGTGGAAATATACCGCCATTGTGCTCGTAACGAGTCATGCGGTAACTAACGACTTACGCTAGAAAGAAAGAAAGCCGACGTGTTATTGTACAATACTAGTTACTGTACCCGTAACGATATACCGGTACGATACGGTATTTCACAGGCATCATATCGAGATACGCGACGCGCAACTCCCTTCCTCGAGGTGGAAAAAATCCCTAGGATAATCCCTCGTGTGGTGAGCGGAAGAGGAAAATGGTAGTCTACGGTACACTACAGTGCACGGTAGTTTTTCATCTGCGAACGCGTCCTGCGACGAACGGACGGGAACAGAGCGAAAGCTTCCCCTCCATATTACCCTAATTAATTAATTGATTAATTTAGAGAAAATCCCCTGGGAACGGTAAGTTCTGCTGTATGATAATTAGAGTAGTCTACACACGCTATACCCACGTTTTGAGAGGGGTGGGTGCAGTAACCTAGCACACCTCGAAGAAAATAATAATAATAA